AGTGATGATATATTGTATTCATTGTCAATATTAACCCCTTACACACTACTGTGCCCACTAAATAGTTCCTAGTGATGATATGTTGTATTCATTGTCGATATTAACCCCTTACACACTGCTGTGCCCACTAAGTAGTTTCCTAGTGATGATATATTGTATTCATTGTCAATATTAACCCCTTACACACTGCTGTGCCCACTAAATAGTTCCTAGTGATGACATATTGTATTCATTGTCAATATTAACCCCTTACACACTACTGTGCCCACTAAATAGTTCCTAGTGATGATATATTGTATTCATTGTCAATATTAACCCCTTACACACTGCTGAGCCCACTAAGCAGGAAATAGCAAACTTATAATTGATCACTTTTAAGGACAAGCGGGCTAACCCAGATTTCGGGAGTTGCCAGAAATCTTGATCGACAACAAAAGTGGGCATTGCCCTACCTATAGGAGAAGTTTGGTTTCATTAGTGTGTACATTTCTTTGGTTATAGAGAAAACCCTCCTTGTGTTTTGAAGAAACAGAACAAGGGGCAAAAACTTTACCTTCGATTTTCTCAAAACAGCATTTTTCGGGATAGCCCCCTTGTGCTGTCAACCCATAAACATGACCCCAAAAAGTTTCTCACAAGAGATCAATAAAAGGTTCATTCATTTAATCACTTACTCACGTATTCATTCATTCACTCATTCATTCATTCATTATTCATTAATTCCTTCCTTCATTCATTCAAATACATTTACTAATTCATTCATTCATTCATTCATTCCCTCATTCCTTCATTCCCTCCTTCGTTCATTCTCTCATTCCCTCATTCCTTCATTCCTTCATTCCCTCATTTCTCCATTCCCTCATTCATTCCTTCCTTCATTCACTCATTCCTTCCTTCATTCACTCATTCCTTCCTTCATTCACTCATTCCTTCCTTCATTCACTCATTCACTCATTCCCTCGATACCTCATTCCTTCATTCCTTCATTCCCTCACTCATTCCTTCATTCCCTCACTCATTCCTTCCTTCGTTCACTCATTCCTTCCTTCATTCCCTCCTTACCTGAGGCAAATCGCATGAGCTGTGCCACAGCCGGGCTGATCAGCGCCATTTTGTCGGCCGAGTGGTTGAACTGCTCATGCTCGTAGTATCTACAAATGGGAAAAAAACAAAACAAAACAAAACATCAGTCCAAGTTTCAGATTACAGTGGATTGTGCATGTACATGTTTTATGACCGCCCCTCCAAACCCCCCATCCAAAAAAAAACAACACTTGCAACATAATAATAAGGTCATATAAGTGCCGAAATATTAGAAGTGTTACAAGAGAGTAACAAACACAAAAAAGGAGGACCGAGGGATAAGGACGACAGAATGTTTATAGGGAAGAAGGAGCAAACCACACCAGAGCACCCGCCAACCACCCGCAAAAACAACAACGAAAAACAACAAAACCAAAAAAGAAAAATAAAGCGACTTAATTTCTTCGATCATGTAGAAGGTAGGCAACTTCAACGTCCCTTTACTGTCAGGGTCAAACCAGGCTGACAGGGATACCACATCCCAGCAGACAGACTCGATTTTTTTTAAAAACCTCCCCACCTATGCAAGAATCGAACTCGTGTCTCCTGTATGCCCCACGGCAAAACGCCTAACCGGGTGAGAGGAGGGAAAAGGTGATTTTGCTAGACATGCCCTTAGCCTTAGTCTTCGGCCTACCATATCCATATGACGACCC